TGAGGGGCACGTGGGCCCTGCGAGGGGGTTATAGCCCCTGTAGGGGGGGCTGTGGCCCCTGTGGGGGGCTGTAACCCCTGTGGGAGGAATGTAGCCCTGTTGGGGGGGCTGTAGCCCCTGTGGGGGGCTATGGCACCTACTGGGGAGCTATGGCCCCTGTTGGGGGGGCAGTCCGTGAGCTGTAAGGGGGGGGGCTGCACCCTGCATGGGACAGAGGACCCACCCATCCTGAGCAGCCACCCCCCACAGTCCTCTCACGATCCACCCACACCTATCTACACACCCCACAGCCTCCCACGACCCTCCACAGCCACCCACATCCCCCCACCCCCTTTCCCTCCCCATTTATGCAAACCCCACATTCCCCCAGCACACACTCTGCGTGCCCAGCTACCAGACAGGATGAAACCTGTTGGAAGGAGCTGTGGTTGCAGGGGCAGTTGTCCCCACATCCTGGTGAGTGAAGGGGTCAGGGGGAGCTCTAACTGTTCTATGATAAGAAAATTAAAAGCAAACATCAAAACATATAGGTATTTAGAATTCATTTTATAGAGGCACTGGTAGGCTTCCAAACTGCTTTAACATTGTAGATATATCAATAACATATTGCTCAACTGATTGTTCTATGTCTGTCTATCTGTCTCTCTCTATATCTATAGTGGTCTTATGTTTTAATTGTGGAAGACCATGGATTTCAGGGTATTTTACAGAGTGACTTTGGGATTTTTTTATCTGGGATTTTTCAGTTTTTAAATAGGGACCACCAGAATTCCTGCTAGTCAGGCAAGTGGCAGAACTGAGGCAGAGGAGCATGCTCAGAGCCAGCACCCAGGACCCAGCTGGAGGTGGCTGACCTCCTGGCCAGTTGGGGCTAGGAGGACATGCTTTGACAGTTCAGAGCAGGCCACCACACAGAGAACATCTTCTGGGCAATAGCTGCCCACATGGCCAGGCAGGGGTACACATGGCAGTAGCGCCTCACAAAGGCCGACTCTGCAGCCACAGGCCACTGGCAGCTGGCCCAGAGGGGCAGATACCTCTTATGGCTGTGCAGTCCCCATCTGGGTCTGGCAGGCATGCAGCCTTGGGGCCACATGCTGTCGCAGGTGGCAGCAGGTCACAGCCAGGCAGCAGCCCCCACTGCTAGACTGCTGCAGTGGGTAGAGGGTGCAGGGAACTCTCAGAGCTGCTTCAGCAGTCCAGCTGGCACAAGGGGTAGTGTCCCCAGGTGCTGGAACCCATTAGCTCCTGTCTATTTGTCCATTCAAAATTGCCATGGGTCTCTAAGGCCCACCCAGTAAACTAGTAGCACCCACTATATGGGGGCTAATGGATGAATGAAACAACTGATTTTGTGGGACAACTAAGGAAAAAAACAGGATAGGAGTGATGTGGGGGTCAAGGGGTGAAAATGTGAAAAGAAGTTCTCCAGAAGGGGACAACAAGCAGGGGCCTCCAGGCTGCATCCACTGGTCCTAAAATGCATCCAAGGAGCTGGTGGACACTGCCCACTGGTGCTCTGCCTGGAAATGTGCTCGGACAAGTGAGAGGAAAGTGGCCCCGCAGTCTCCAAGCACCTTCCCAGCCAGAGCCTGCTTCCTGGTCAAGTACAGGGCCTACTTGGCCAGGGCCAGGGCCAGGAGGAGGTTGACCAGAAGGAGGTCCCAAGACTTGGTGGGGCCATGGATGGGGTGACCAAAAACAAAAAGGTAGGGTGTAAAATTCAACCAGAACCTCAGGAGGAGGTTCTGGAGGTAGAGGAGCTGCAGCCTGGCACACTCAAGGGTCATGTGTGCCAGGGTCTCCCTCTGCTGGCAGAAGCGGCAGGAGACCAGGGTGTCTGTGAAGCTCGCCACATACATGCCTGTGGCAACAGCTCCATGGAGGAGCTGCCAGCTGAGGTCCCTAGTGGCACATGGGATGAGGGTAGAGTACAGATTCAGCCACTGGGGTGCCCCAGCTGAGCAGGTCCCACCACTTGGTGTCTGGGTGGGACGCGTGGGTGGCATGATGGATCATGTGGCACATGGGCATGTAGGGCAATGGACAGTGGAAAAGCAGATCAGTTTGGTGTCCTCCAGCTGGGTCAGGTGGTATAGTGGGGAGTGCCATGAGGGTGAGCAAGGCGCTAGCCCCACTGTAAACTCTGGTGGGCTGGAGGACATGTGGGGGCAGTGACCATCACCACGCAGGACCTGGTCAACAAAGGCAAGGGCATTGAATGATCGGGCAGATTTCACCTCCTGGACCAGATGGCAGGTCACACATGCTGTGGGTAGTCCCTATGTGCCAGGCCAGCACAGCGGGGTCCACCCACTCCTGCCTATCATATCCAGGAGGTCTCTGATATGGGTGACACCAGCCAGGATCAACGTTTGTCGCAACCAGGGCGCCTCTGCTTTCAGCATCTCCAGCTGGGGGTTCCAGAGGAGGGGCTTGATGAGCAGGTCAGTAGCCTGGGTGAGTGTTGCAGGGGACCTGGAGGCTGAGACCGGCTGCCAGGCCCAGAGGAGGTCCTGGTAGAACTCTGGCAGCCCTTGCAGGTCCTGTAGCAAAAAGCCCTGCAGGCCAAGGAGCTGCCAGTCGTATCGGAGCCCCTGGAAGTGGCAGAGGAAGGCATGCCCCAGGTGGCCCCATGTTGCGTAGCTATTGACACCATATAGCAGTCACTGGAGGGCCTGAAGGCAGAATGTCAGGATCTGGCTGCACAGGCAAACCTGCAAGGGGAGGCTCAGAACCTCTGCAGTGACCCAGTGCCATCCTGGCCAGAAAAACTCCAGTACCTATCTCTGAAGCCCTGCCAGGACCTCCCCAGAAGCTCTTGAGAGCGAGTGGCCCTGAGCTACTTGCCAGGGCAGTTTTTGGTACTGCTGGAGCCAGCACAAGGCAGCTTTTTATACTGCTGGGGCCAGCACAGGTGCTGGCCCCAGCCTCTAGCTCCCCCTGGCTGCAGATCTGGGAGGAGCCAGGCAGGGTTATTTTGCCCCAAGTGGCACAATTTTCCCTACACCAAAGTGCATGTCCAGGCATATGCGCTGAGGCAAAAAGCCTCTGCTCAAATTTGCACCGCTTCTATTTGAGCTGTTGCAAGTGAATGTGCTTGCATGTGTGGACGTGCCCTGATAGTCTATTAACCCTTAATTTGAATTGAAATTTGATTATAATTGTGTGATGTGAATCAGTTAACAGTTTAGAAAATGGTAAGCACATCCATAAATGGCAATCCAAAAACTCTGTGTGTTGGATCCAACACTCAATCCCAGCATGCAGAGCCAAGAGTGGGCAATGCTGCCCCCCCTTGGAGTCAATCCTAGCATGAGAGGGATGGGACAGGGCAGTACCAGACGCCCAGGGCCCAATCCTGGCATAAGGGGCAGGGAAGGGGTGGTGCTGGACCCCAGGGCCTGCTCTGGCCCACAGATGACTCAAACCTGGTTCTGTGCCACCCATCTGGCTTGCAGAGCCAAAAGGTTGAGCACCACTGTAATAAAATAATTCAACACCCATCTGTTAATGAACTGTGCAGTAAAGCAACAAACTACTCACCCAGACAGAGTGTCCCATCTCCAGCGTAGCCTTCCTTACAAGAACAGACTTTTTCTCCAGGTGAGACTTTAGTACATGTTGCGTGTATTGAGCAACCACCATTATCAAAAGTACATGGATTTATTTCTGTAACCAAAACCAATGGAAATATCATTATGGAACTCATATGGAAGATGATAATTTATTAGTATAGTCTTTTGATTTGCTGACAATTGTTTGCTTTGAAGCATGAAGTTCTATTCAAGTTTTCTGTTCTATGTAAATAGCTACAAATTATGTCAGAAAAATCAGCAGCATGCTTCATTAAATTTAAGCATTTTTTCTAATGAGGTCAAAACTAAAGTTGAGCTATGGCACTTGCTACCATCAATATTTGATGAGCATGGAATTATTATTTTAAGTGCATGCTCTAAATAATTGAAAAGTATGTCAGGAAAAGAAACAACATGATTCTGTTATAAGATAACATTTAAAAAAAATTTTGATACCCTGTGGATTATTTGTTTACCTTTAAGTCCCATAGGATCTCACTGAGACTGGGGGATATAGAATGGAAGGTATTCTTGTTTCATTAGTAATTATTGAGCAATGCAGCATTTCCATGAAATATTCAACAAATAATAGAGGAACGAGGTTTTATAAAATTTAAGTATATACACTTTATTGACCTGACATCTGTTTAGTGCCTATCATATGTGATATTATTTGGAACTAGTAGTGCTCTTTCATATGCATGCTCTTTGCCCAGTTGAATAGTAAGAATGGCACCTCCTGCAAGTTTCTGCCCATGTTAAAGGCAGCAGGAATTTAGTTGGCACAAAATAATAATTATATTGGCATACAATGCCCTCAGTAATTCTTTGTTGCAATATTTCACAAAAAGTACAAATATTACAAGTCTGAAAAGAAGAATTGTGTGATCATTTATTTGTTTTACCTCTTTGGGTAAATACATCAAATGTGTTTGCTGGAAATACCTGTACAATGGGTTCCATTCCCAGTGTATCCAGCAGAGCAGGAGCAAATAGGCAGGGATTCTACAGAATCATTAAAGCAACTGAAATGACCAAGGAAGAGAATAAGCAATTAATCCACTTTTTAATCACTCTTGGCTAGCAATAGCTTCAGGAATATTGTATATTAAATAAAGTTGCTATGGCAGCTGGATACTATGCTAAGAGTAAAATAATCTATAATGTAAGAAGGAAACATCAAGTAGGTAAGTATTTCTTTACTCTGTCAAAAACCAAGCCAAATACTTCATGCAAAGACTAACAGCTGCATGGAAGAGTCTTGTGCTTAGTACAAGAACCATAATGTAGTTTTGGAAAACAGTGCATATACCTACAGACATAATGTATTTTAGTGCCCACTTCCATTACACTACATCAGAGAGATTATGAAAGTATGGGGGATTTAATAGATCCGGTGATTCACAATAGGATATAGACCTTTTTGTCTCTAGGTCACCATTATTATCCTGTCCCAGGTTTAGTGGCATAAATGAAATGGGTTAGTGCTTTCAGCTCAGTACTAAGTTTGCCAACAGATGTCCATCTTATGGTATCAGTGGATGCAACAGTTACTCCAAAGTATGTTACTTATGAACAAATAACACATCAGTTACTTTTTAATAACTCATCTGGGGCACACATTTACCCAATTTTAAATGCAAGATAGCTTATCAGTCAATGAAAAGGGGATGTATTTTTAAATTAAGATGCACTACAAATGAAGAATGATTTATCCAAGGAACAGTCTGGCTTCTAATGTCAGTCTATGAATTTAAAAAGTAGTTTGCTGCTGCAAAGTTAGTTTAAAACTTGCAGCAAATAATTCCGTAGGTGCTTAATTAATAAGAAGGTACAGGCCCGCACATCAATCTTCTATTTTGCCTACATAAAAATCAATGCTGCATATAAAAAGTCACAAACACATTCTTTTCTTGAAATGTCCCTGGCCACTTGTTTATACTTACTTGGCCATTTGATGGCAAGTGTTATTACATAAATCAATCCCAATGCCTACAAGAGAAAAATTAACAGTTTTACTCTCCATAGTAGATATAACATATCTATGAGCTAGGATAAATGCACTTAAAAGGACTCATCCTCATTATTTTGGTGTCCTCATTTATCAGGGAGGAACTTCACACCCGTGAAGGGTCATCTCAAGGCAGGTGTATCCTATTAGTTCCTAAAATAGGGCTCAAAATCTGTGCTTCCCAACTAGATAGGATACAGAGTTTTAACACAGTCCCAGCACATAGGGACTCATGAATTGGGCTGCCACAGTCCAAACCTTGGGTCCCCATGTGCTGCGACCTTTAAAACCCCAGTTGGGGTTTTGACTATCAGATGATTGTTGGCTGAGGCCACGGACCTGCCTGGGGACAGTTTCAGATCCTGGTTCAGTCCATGGCCCCAACTAACAATTCTGCTGTCTGGTGGCACCTGGATTTTAACTTGCTGGAACTGACAAGTAAGGTGCAATAGGAATCTAATACCTGATTCCAAAATTGCGTGTCCTGACATGCATGTGTAGCATGGCAAAAGGCATGATGCCTTAAACTAAAGTGCCTGTCAAAGACCTTAAGTTGAATCTGAGTTAATGCTGGTTCTCTGCAAAGAGAACAATTTTATTTTATCTACACAGCCTACAAAACATTACAAATGAGATGTGGACCAGGCACCTCATTCATCTGCAGACACCAGCTCTACCATAACAGCAGAAGGTTCACATGCCTTGAGCAATGCCTTTATGAAAGTTATAGGATGTATCTATCTGATTTTTGTGTTTAAAAGATTTGTAGGTTTCCCTGGATGGCACTGCTCTAAACACAGATAATCCACTGCCTTGGTAAAATATTTGATGGATATATTTAGACTAAAGTGACATCATGCCTTCATCAGGGTGTCCCTTGGCCATCCCCCTCCTGCTTATATGCTCCCTGCTTGGAAGTATATCTTCTCAACTACATCAGAGAGTGAGGTCTCAAGAACAGCTGCTGGAGACACTTTGGAGCACTCTCACTAGTGTATTTCTAGGTCTGAAGCAAATGAGCAGGAGTAAGTAGACAGCAGGGTGGATAAAAATCAATGATTTTTTTTAAAACCAAAAAAATGGATTTTTTAAAATTTAAATCAGATTTTTAAAAAATCAAATCATCAATAAAATACTAAATTTCTCTCTCACTTAAAAAATAATAGTTACAATTACATCTTATCACAAACATGCTAAACCTACACTTACTGTCTCATAACAATGAATTAATGGTGCTGTCACACTCACAGGCATTGAGTTACCTACCAATCAAACGTGGGCAATCATTTCAGTTTTTCATCTCATGAAAATGGCTCTATCCTGTCTGTCCAAGCTAACTACCAGCTCTTGCTTCTTGAAAGTTCTGAGCTTTCCGTTTCTGTTTCTCAGCAGACTAAAGTTACATGTGCAAAAACACAGGCTGGATAGGATTGTTGTTGTTTTGTGCCTATGTGGTGGTGGAGCTGGGCCAAGCAAGGTTAGAGGAATTAATTAAGATACTGTCTTAAAGACAGAGAGACAATATAGGAAAGGATGGAAGCAGAATAGAAAGCAACAGTGGAGTGGACTGGAAAGAAAAAGGGAAGACATTATTCAGTAGTACACACACTGCTTCCTATATTCCCCCACACTTTTGCCACAGAAAAACTGTCATGGCTTCTGGGCATAAAAGAGACCCTATCTGGGAATATTTTGAAGAAATTCCTTCCCTGGGTAAAAATGGAAAACATGTCAAGTGTAAGCAGTGCAAGGAGGAGATTCAGGGCCTAGTTGCAAGAATGAAACTTCATAATGAAAACTGCTTATTGGGAGAAAATGATGTGAACGAAGATGTGGATACGTCTGAAGAACAATGTGCATCAACTGGTTAGTAAATTAAATAATTCACTTTGCAACGCATCAATCTTCAAGACTCTCTCTATGCCTTTTAGTATACGTGTGACTTAACAAGCACTGGGAAAAGCAGCCCCTCCCCTGCCCCACGGCTCCCACTCCCTGTTGCAGCTGCTCACAGCCCATGAGGGGCTGTCCTGAGCAGGCACAGCCAGCCCCACGCAGGCTGCGAGTGGCTGCAGTGCGGGGCACTGGCCACGGGGCGGGCAAGGGACCACTTTTCCCCATGCTCAGTGCCAGCTTGTAACCCACCCCCACTGCCAGCCTGGGCCCTGCACTGGCTCCAGGCTCACCTGTCGGGGATGCACTGTGGTGGCAGCAGCTGCTCAGCGTGGAGGAAAGCGATCCCCCTGCTTGCCACACCAGGCAGTGTTTGCTGCTGCTGCCCACCCAGAGCTCGCACGCTGTGCAGCACAGAGGCGGCAGTGGCAGGCTGTCCTGAGCAGGTACAGGCAACCCCACATGGGCTGCGAGCGGCTGCAGCAGGGAGCACCAGCCACAGGGCAGGTGAGGGGCCACTTTTCCCCACACTCAGCACCAACTCCTTCCCTGCTGGCAAGCAGAGGGTCGGGGCTGCAAACTGCCCACCGCCTGTACCGCGGGGCTGAAGGGGCTCTGGGAGTAAGTGGGTGTGGGAGTCAGTGGGAGCATGGGGCCCACACCAGTGTCCCAGGGCCAGCGCTGGCAGGGCCCAGAGCAGGGCAGCAGGAGTACGGGGTCCCGGCCAGCAGGGGCTCTATGGAGCTGGACCAGCTCCCCCCCTTTCCCTGCTGGTGCAGCCCAGCCCAGCTCCACAGACCCCTGCCAGCCTGCGCCCACTCTGGGCCCCACCAGTGCTGACCCTGAGACATTGGTCCCAAGAAATTAGGACATTGGTCCCAAGACGGTGACCAGGGGACGGGACACCTGTGAAGGGGCCGGGCTACCCATGTGGCCCTCGACAGCTTGCCAAAACTGGGTTAGCAGCCCTCCGCCCAATATAATTGCCTGCCCCTGGATTAACTGAATAACAGAGTGAGAAGAACTGAGAAGACTGACTATTCAAAAATCATTTTTGTTTCAGGAGCCCATTTAAGCATAACAGACTGTTTATCTGCAACAACTTCATCGTCATCCACTAGTGCTTTTAGCAGCACTGCCGCAATTAAACGTATTTCGGACTACAAAGTATCAGTAGCAAGCAAAAGATTTCAATCTTCCAGTAAAACCACCACCATGGATGGGTTTGTAGTAAGGACCAGCAAATACCAACAAGACACCATAGATGAAAAGATTTCATTTGTGCCATAAATTCTCCTTTTCACATTGTTGACAATAAACACTTAATTGACACGGTTGAGTCCTTATGACCAGGCTACACCCCACCTGGTAGAGCAGACATTGGTGGAAGGTTGCTAGATACGGTGTATGAGAAGTAATTTGAACAGTGTGCAAGAAATACTGAGGGGCAATTTGCCAGTTTAAGCCTTGATGGGTGGAGCAATGTACACAATCATCCAGTAATATGTGCCTGTGTGAGAACAGAAGATGGGGTTGCATATCTTTCAGAAACAATAGATACACTGGGAAATGCCCACACAGCAGAATATTTAAAAGAAGTGGCAGTGAAAGCAGTAATAAACTGTGTACAAAAATGCAACTGTCACGTGCACAGTTTTGTCACAGACAATGCTGCAAATGTGGCAAAGATGAGAAGCTACTTACAAGAAGAAATAGAAAGATGCATCTTAATAACATATGGATGCGGTGCCCATTTAAGGCATCTTTTAGCCAAAGACTTAAGTATTTCTCCAGGAATAAAAGAAAATGTTGCTGAAGTCACAAAATACTTCCGTAACAACCATTTTGCTTCAGCTTCACTGAAGAGAGCTGGAGGATCCAGATTAATTCTCCCTCAAGATGTTCAGTGGAAATCAGTGGTTGATAGTTTTGAACAATTTATTAAGAACTGGCCTATTCTCATATAATTTGTGAAGAAAACCATGATAAAATAGAGGAAGTATCTCATCCAAAGTATCTAACATTGGATTAAAGAGGAATGTAGAGGATATGCTCAGTATACTAAAGCCTATATTCATAGCCTTAAACAAACTTCAGAGAGATTGTTGCTGCATTGCTGATGCTGTCGAAATTTGGAAGGCACTTCAAGAGACATTGAAGAAAGAAATACCTAACCAGAAAGTTAAGCTGCAGGCAATAAAGAAGTGAATGGATCAAGCACTAACTCCACCTCATTTTCTTGTGTACATTCTCAACCCCAGATACAAAGGTAGATGCCTAACTTCTGAAGAGGATGATGCTGCCATGGCATGGGCATCTCAAAATCACTCCTCAGTTATGCCAGTCATAATACATTTCAGGGCTGGAGGGGAACCATTTAAACAGTATGTGTTTACTGATGTTTTGAACAAAATCACTCCCCTAAATTGGTGGAAATCATTAGCCAGGCACCTTGAAACAGAGTTCCTTCAGTTGCTAAGCCAACTTTTCACAGCAGTAGCTTCCTCTGCAGGCACAGAGAGAATATTTTCATCATTTGGTATTATTCACTCAAAGCTAGGAAATTGACTGGGAGTTGAAAAAACAGGAAAACTCTTATTTCTGTTTCAGTCTATGAATAAAAATGACAGTGGGAGTGGGGACGATGAGATCTAGTTGTAGAAGTTTTAAGGACAGCATACATTAAGTGTTGTGATGGCTGGTCTGTTACAGGTAATAAAATTTGAAAATTGAAAAAGAAATTTAAGGACAGATGTTGTAAAATGCTGTATTGAGTTGTAAATTAATGTGCTCTAGTGATCAGATTTACACCGTTGTTTAAGAAATATGTGAGTAAGTATCAGTGGGAAACATGATTTAAATCAATTATTTCAATCAGGGTTTTTTCTTGGTGATTTAAATGATGATTTAAGAGGAAGGGGAAGGGAGGGAAATAGAAAGGGAAGGGAAATGGGAAGGGATGAAAAGGAAAGGGGGAGGGGAAGGAAAAAGGAAGGAAAAGAAAGGGAAAGGAGGAAGGACGGAAAGGGAAGGGTGAAGGAATATGGAAGGGGAAGGGGAAGAGAAAAGGGGAAGGGGAATGGAGCACAACCTTTGGCAGTCATTGCAATACCTCCATGATGTTGACTTTGACATAACCATTTGGGATACCTTATAAATAACAACATAATCAAGCTAGAATAAAATGATAATAGGTCATTTAATTTGCAGGTATTTTGTCATGTCAACCTTTTCCTTTAATTCTGTTTTGTATAAATTTTACATATTTCCTCTTCATAGTTTCCTACCCAAATTTTGCTTTCAGCTTCAAGTTCAGATAACTTAAATCTCAGCCAAAATTACCCAGGGTGCAGATAGAAGTGACAGTTTTTGCCCAATCTGGCCACCGAATGCAGTCTATAGCTATGACTAAACACAAGTGCACAAAAATGGCCAATCGGGCAAAAATCTGAACCTCACTCAAATGAAGATTTTCAAAACATGGAGATGTTTCAAAATAGGCCTTGCAGTCTATCCCCATTTGAGAATGGGAGGGGGAAAAGAGAGAGGAGGGAGTTCGGTCTGGGTTTTTTTCAGCCCTTGCTGTGGGGGGGAGCCCCACAAAGGTGGGGGGGGCTCCAATTCACCCACCCCACTCTCCAGTGCCAGTTGGGCAACCCTGAGAACGAGCTCATGAGCTCCCTCTACTCCCTTTCCTTAATCCCATTCTGAAAACAGTACAGGCTAACAGAGAGGAGGGGCCATTGCTAGGGGAAACCAGCTGCAGGCTCCCAGCCAGCAGGTAGATTCCCCTCCCCACTGGAACCAACCGTGAACTTCTGTTTGGTCTTGGGGATCCTTGCAACTCAGAATGCTTCCTGAAAAGTGTTCTCAGTTACAGTGGGGAGCTGCACTTCTGTCTGTGCCCCCAGTGATACTGGATGTTGTAGGGGAAAAAACAGAAGGAAAGAAAGGAAACACCCAACTCCTTCCTCCCTTGCTTCTTCCTCCTCCTCTGCTTCCCCCCCAGCCCCCCCCAAAAAGTCTACTGATTCAATCTGTTCAGTTTAACTTGAATATCTGGCTGTTTTATGAGCAAAGAAAAGCAAGTGATAGCTATCACCATGTAGGTAGCAGCTGTATTAAAAAAAAGACTAATATTACATTGAATGCATCTCTTTCATTCACTCACTTTCTTCACAGTAGATGCCTTTCCAGCCCTGGAAACATTTACAGCTCCCATTGCCATGCAAGCCATCATTGCAGAGTCCATTAATGCAAGCACATTCTGTGAAGAATAAAAACGCCACTTTAAAACCAATCAATACTAACGAATAAAGAGGAGTCTGGTATTTTGCAAGTAAAATATGCATCTACCTTCAAGACATTAACTTTTTAGTTTCTTTAAGAAAAAAAGTTAAGGGAATGTCAGTACTTATGTGAAAACTGACAAATCAAAAAGGCCTAGGAATGCAAGTACTTTATTTTTTCTGGAAGTTAAAGTATTCAGCCAGTGGAAGTACACAGTGTCTCCAATGCCTCAAATATAGAGAACCTAGTTTTTCTTTTCTGTGACACCGTGGCAGTTTCAAATTTGACAGAAATGGTGATTACCTGATTTACAGCTTGGTCCATATCTGCCAACTTCGCACATTTCACAGGCTGTGCCATGGAAGCCCTCATTACACTGACATTCTCCACTGCCAGCAATACCATCCAGGCACACCCCATTCCCAGAACACCAATTTCCCGGCTTTCCTGGGCACATTTCACACATATGTCCATAGTAACCTGGACAGCAGACAGACCTCTGTGGGAATAGACAATAACAGGCTGGAGTAAGACATCTTAAACTTGAAGGAAAGAATAAGACATATAATTAAAAGTATCAATCTTGTTTTGATCCATATATATTTTGTTTAGGTAGCTTTTGGATTCCTTTTATCATTTGATATTCACTGGCTATGATGATATACTAGAAGTAAATAAATACACTATTAGATTTGTCTCAGATATCTGCATGTGTGTGTTACACACATTCACAGACACAGATTAACTAACCTGAGAGCAGCTGCTAAACTTTAAAATGATTATGGCAAATTGAAGCAATTTGATATTAAAAGGAATTATATAAATAAAAATAAAATATTTTCCCTTATATAAGCAAGTATGTTACCTATGATACAAAATGTACAGTAAATACATGCAACATATAGATATTTTACTCTTTGGCAGTGAAAATTGAGAGATTATAAATATGGAATTTACAAGTGAGATTATAGAGAAGATGAATGATGCCGGGCAGTTTGTAAGTAATTCAGATCTTGTTTATAACCATGGAAATGTGAAGTAAGTATTTCAACCAATGTAACCAGGATCAGGAATTGGCCCTTTATGAGGGTACAAACTAAAACAAGCGTGAGCAAACCAAAGCGGAAGAAAAACAGCGCCTTGTTATAAAGAATTAGTAAAAGCAAAATAGATTGGAGATAACAGGAGAAGAAACAACCATAAATTTATCTAAAAAACATAGTGTTGCTGTCACTCAAAAAGACAGCACGAAGGATTATATTAGAGACTGACTGGAAGGTAAACAGACCTAGATGTGTGTGAACAGAGCTAGAACTTTCCAATGAAAAACAATGCTATGTTGAAAGCTTTAAGTGGCTGCCAATCACATAATAGTTTGAAACCACAAAAGGCCATAGAAGTCCTTTCCTCTTTTTAACTCACTGTAATTTGTTCATTTGTCCAGATCATAAGCTGAGAAGTCTGAGGAGTTTCCTTGGGGCTAGTTAAAATGAAACTGCAGGGGTAAGTAGAGTGGCATATGTGGGTGTGACAAGCCGAACACTAGCAAGACAACGAGAAAAGTTGTCATTAGCATGGCCCAGAGAGGGAGCAGCGATAGAACGTTTTGGGGAGCGGACAGATGTTCATTTCTGGGAAATCTGCAGTGCATGAGAGAGGGAGCGCAGAAGTGCTGCAGTCGGCAGCTGCCCCCTCTCCCGTGCTCCCTACCTTCACCAGATCAGAGTGCTTCTCAATTCCTTCCAGCCCCTGCAATGAGTGCAGTGGCCAAAAAGGTTCCCTACTCCTTCTTCAGACTGGAGACCACCTTAGTCTGAGGAAGATGAGGTGATCAGCAGCTGCTTTAATCCTCCTGGTCTCCATACAGACATTGGTTCCTGTGTGAGAAATTCTTTTTCAGGTGAGACCTTCCTCACTGAAAGAGGATCTTTCTCCTGGATCTGGCATTTTTCCTGTGGGAGAAACTGCATGAACACCTATACGTTCCCAGTCACCAGTGAAAAAGCAACATTTCTCCCTCTAGAAATGTAACGCTTGCCCATACTCTGAGACAGCAAACTTGCTGTGGAGGCAGACTTGGATGGAGGGGGCAAGAAAACTGCCTGCTGCTGTTTTTCTTTTCTGCTCAGAGAAACAGGTCAGAATTTTTTTCAAGTTTGATGTTTTCTCTGGTACAATCAGTGCAAGCGCCAAAAACAGGTTATTGCTGGAGAGAGAAGCAGCAAGGAGAGGAGAAGAGAACATGCTGCTTAGGAGTAGGAGTTTGGTCAGGACACTGGCACCAATCCCTACTTCTGAGGCCATAACATTTATTTAGAATATTTATCCCAATTTTTGCTTACTAAGGAAACTTTGATACAGGTGAAATAACAACCAAGTGTTTCCTTATCTCCAGACCGAAGTTCACAGTGAGGGAGCTTTCCACTTCCTGGAGGTTCCTGTAGACAAAGTAAAATTATATATATGCACACACACACAGGCACACACATTTAATAATATATCTATAATAATGTAAACTATATAACTCCACGTCGCCTATAAACATAGACATATACAGGGTTCCCTCACTTTATGCTGTACATGTGTTCCTGAAAAATGGCACATAACTCAAATTTGCATAAAGGGAACCCACTTTACCATGTAACCAATAGGTATATGTTCCAAGACCTCGACTGTACTGACCCCCGGACCCATTTCTACCACTTTTACAAGACAATTTTGGCACTCACCAACAGCAGACAGTACACACAAGCACAGGGTGGTGGTGAATGTTACCATAATGGGGATGGCAACTACAGAAACATGTGTTGCGGACAATGAGTGAGGAGCACAGATACACACAGGCATGAATGGTACATGCCCCTGGCGGCTTGGGGGGTACAGCTGCGCCGCTGCCACCAGGAGCATAGCAGTGGGAACCTAGCAGTGGTAAGCAGTGAGCTCCTGCAGACACCGCTGGCATTGTCAGTAGTGGGGGGTGGTGAGTGCTGACCATGGGTTGGCGACCACCCGCAGGTACCGCCGGCAGTGTTGGCAGCAGCCAGGGACAATTATGGACTGCCCACAGATGTTGCCGGGACCACCGCCGGTGGGGTGGCAAGCAGCAACTGCCTGCAGGCGCTGCTGACAGTGTCGGCAGCGCCTTTTTGCAGGGGGTGCACCGCCACCTGCAGGGGGTGCACATGCACCCGTGTGCACCCCCTATGCATCACCCCTGCACACAGGAGACTATATTTTGGTGCGCATCACTACCACAAAGTTACAGAGACAAGCAAACCTGCCTGTGTGAATGTCTGGCCTGGAAAACCATTCTTCTTTTCTCAGAACTGGTTTTCAAAGACAATAATGTTGGAAGATCAAAGACTAAATCCTACTTCCTATTATTCATGAGAGATACCTGTTAAAGTAAATGGAAATCTTCTCTGCATAAAACTAAACAGAATTTTGACCCATGTAATATCTTGCCATGTGCTGCAGTTAAAAGGGACAGTACAAGTAATATTCTCTGCTTAAGTCCTCAAGATAATGCTCAAATAAGACATGTAAACATATCTTATTCATGAAAAACATGGTATGGACAGATCTGTATTGTATAAGAGTTTTGCATCCCCATAGCCCCAGAGTGGGGAAAGCACTGGCTCTGAGGAAGTGAGAGGTGCCTGTCTCTGTGGAGGCACAGAGGAGACTAGGAGCCATGTAGACCTGGTCTGAACCTGGGACAAACCTCAGGATTTGAGTATGCCAGTGAAGAGTAGCTGACAGAAGAAGGCTGACCGAGCGACCCAACAGTGTCATGCTTGAGACACAGGGTTAAGCTTCTATGACTGGGGAGAACCTGTGAGAGTCACTCTGAGAGACCTGAGTATTTAATTGGTGGGCTGGTAATGGGTGTTGCTGGTCAGAAAGATACTGCCCAAGAAGCATGCTACAGACAAGGATGAGATGGACAAATTGATAGGTCTCACAAAGGGGACTAAATTGATTGAGAAGGGAACCCTAAGTTGAGGGGACTTAGGGGTGAAGTAATTGATGAGGGGTCCTTGGGATGAAAAGCCCTAAATAAGGGGACCATGTTCTGGATTTGATTGAGGGCCTACATAAATGACAATGGGGCACAGTCAGAAAGATTGTGCCCTAAAGACCTTGTGGCTGGGGAAAGCCCAAGGCAGAGTTGAGCAACTGGCTGAGGCACTATTCAAGTGACTTGGATATGGCTGAAAGGTCATAGGTCCACCAAGCAGGTGTGGTAAAGGCAGGGGGTAGGGGAGGGGGAGCCTGGTGAAAAGGACATATCCCTTTTACTGAGAGGACATTGTTGCCTTTTGTTTCATTATTCAGCTTCCCTTTTGTGACCCCAGTACCTTGTTAACCCTTACTGGGGTCACAAAACCCCCAGGGACAACACACAAGTGATAGACACACCCTTCAGGAGCAGAAACCTACCAGAAAAAAAGCAGGCAGCACAGTGTGGGGAATCCCTGGCACTGCAGCTACCTTGCTTTATCAGCTGGTGCTGGATCCAGGTTGGATGGCCCTTGAAGAGACCAGGGGACCAGGGAACACAGCTGGAGGAGAGCCAACCCTGACCAGAGGCTGCTCTGGCAGGGGCAAAGGGAGAAGAGTGGAGTTTGCTCTACCAATTTGAGGCTTAGTGGAGTCTTGCCACCGTGGGACCAGTAGCACAGCCCAGAGAAGCTGTCAGCATGGAGTGGTGCTGGGAGATGGTGGGTGCTCTGCTGGATTAACCAAGGTGACAAGCTGTGCGTCCATTCCATCGGGTGTGGGCCCCAATGGGTACGTTGGAGGGGAAAGTGATGGCCGGTAGGAAAAAGTTAAGGATTTGAGGGATCAGCCCTGATGGGCATAATAATGACAGCCCATTGAACTGTGATGAAGAGGGACAATTTGGAGGAAAAAACAGACCAATTGTGAGGATGGGGCCATCTCACCATTCAATGACACTCAATCTGATTAGACCATAAGACCAGGTTGGTGTAAAGATAGGGCATAAGGGAGGTAGAGCCCCAAGAAACAACATGACGCTCACAGGAGGAGGTGGGAACTATCAAGGATCCTCCCTTCTTATTTAAAGATCAAGACATGGTGGGTGAGATGGAGGGCATGCTCTGCTAATGCAAGCCAGTCAGGTCAAGCTGTCAGGCCTTAAGAGCTGGCGCTCAGATGATTGGACCCCTAGACCTCAGTGGCAGACCCAAACAAGGCATGGCTGCCTACAACTTCATTTGTTTTCATGAAGGCATGGCAGGAAAGCATAAGAAAGCAGGCAGCAGCTTGTGTAAGGAGGGATGAGATGCATCACATTCACTGACAGGGTGTAAAAGTGAGAGGGGACCTCTGGCCTTTAGGCATATGGTTGTTCTGCACCAAAATACAAAAGACAAATTTGCTGTTTTCAGCCTTCCTCCATTTCCAAATTGCCACTTACTCTGCCTTAGCACAACCATATCCTTCTATTCACCCAATGCTGGCTAATTACCTGACATTCCTGACCTGCTTCTGTCTGGCCCCTGGTCATCCTTTCTGCACAGAGAAGCTCTGAATCAGTTCTCTGTCTCCACTGCTTTTGTCTATTTAGGTTTTAACATCATATCCACCATGGCAGTATGTGATCTTATCTTCTGCTGTAAAACACATGAACCACACCCTGTTCAAATGAGGAGTAAGGAATTTCTGCAAGTGTGGAGACAGTTCAGCCTCTTGATGCTTGACAGGACTGCAATGGTCCCTTAGGCCTGCTAGGCCTAGAGAAGCCTTGATGTAAGTAGGCTAAGAGTGCATTCATGGAGTTATGCTATTGTATGATCTGCTCCCTACAGAGAAAAGGGTCTGCAGCTTGTTTTTATGCAAGAGTCTGATGATAAAAATGCTTGTTATGGATAAAAGTGTTTGTGGTGGCACATTACATCCATATCTGAAGCAAATGGCTCTTGGTACCAAGAAGTAGAGAAAAACAATAATAAAATGAAGACAAACGCTAAGTTGTTGATGAAAAACAGAAAATTGGCCTAATTGGTGACTACATGACAAAATCCCCTTTCCCCTTCACTTCTTTCTCTCCTCCTCCTCTTTTCCTTCCTGTGCCCTCCTCCCCTTCCCTTCCCCTGACCCCAACAATGTCTGAGAACTGAAGACATCTGATCTCCCTTCAAGGAACCAGAGCCCACTTTGAGATGCCCGGCCAGCACTCGATGTGTGTATTATTAGGACTGGTAATATACAATTACTTGCTTGCTAAGATTGTATTGTGCTAAGATTACTGAAACTCGTAAGAATATATCTATATGCATGCTTGGAGTTAATACTTTATAATCTCAGTAAAGCTGATTTATTAAAGAGATAACTGGGCTCTCATTTGGAGAGAGAAAGAGATAACTGGGCTCTCAACTGGAGAAAACTGAAGCATACTTTAAGGCAACATCAATCCTGCTCTTTATTCCCTGTAACAGGGGTCCTCTTGGGGCCGATTTTCCTTTTGCCCGCCCACCTGTTTCTGGGCCAACCACCCACCTTCTATCCTACCATGCCTTGTTGTTAATTAATTAAGGATCTTAATTAGGTGGGAGGCTGCCCATTTCTTGCCCCGATGCCAGGGGGTGCTATCTGCAGCTCTGCTCCTCCCCTATACCGCAGCCTATGCCTTGCAGATGGCATCCTAGTTATTACTCTCAGCAGCCCCCACACTGGGCCCCAGAATCCTCCAATTAGGACCCCTCTTAGATCTCTCCATTCAGGTGGCCTACCCCGTTCTCATTCAGAGCTGCCTAGCTCCCTAAAACTATTTTCCCTCTCAGGCGTGGTTCCCCTTGGACCTTTGGCCACACAGGCCCTGGCCTCGCCTGCAAGGCCAATCAGAACCCCTGGCCCTCAGCTCTGGGCATCCCTTACGGTGGGCCCCTGGCCCTTTTGACCGGTCTGGTCCTGGCCCCAGCATTGACCAGTCAAGGGTACTCTATGTCAGACCTCTGAGCCTCTAGCCCCACTCTCTCTCTCTGGGGTCTGCCCTCCGGACCCTACTAGTGGGTGACCCACTTGGTTGTGGGAGCTGGGGTTATGGCGCCCCAACCCACCTTTCACAAAGGTAGTAACTGGCCTGGCATTTCCTGGGGGCTCCTGTGCCACTGAGAGCCCCACCAGGCTACCCACTCTTGGCAGGGTACAGTTTTAGGTCATGCCCAGGACCAGGAGCCTCCTGACCATCCCCTACAGCTCCTCCCTTACCTCCAGGACAATACAAGCAGCCTTGCAGCCAGGCAATGTTACTGCCTCGCCTGCCAGCAGCAAAATGCCCTGCTTATATAAGCAGCCCTGAATCTGAAATGGCTGCCGCAATGAGGCATCTGCTGGCTGCTTGGCTTATGTCTTAAAGTGGCAGGCACCAACAGTGCCCTGCCACACTCTCCCTCTGTTTGGAAGGAGAACCAGAAAGCTCTAGTTCTTGAGGCAACACAGCTGCCTTGTGTATGGTACTTCTCAGTGATCAGCTTAAAGAAACCAGTCTTAAATCTCTGCCAGATCAGTTAGTTTCATAACATAGCAATAGATTAGAACCAGGTTAAATGGACTCCAGAATACAAGCTCTAAGGCAGAGGTAGGCAAAATATGGCCTGTGGGCCAGATCCAGCCCATCAAGGAATTTTGTTCAGTCTGCAGCCGGTCCCTCAGTCCTGCCTGGCCCAGGAGCAGGGGGCAGTCCAGGCCATCGCATGTCTGGCTGGTCCCACTGCTTGCAAGTGTGCAGTGGGGCTGAGGAGGCACAGCAGCCAGACACTTCCCAGCAGCCCTGGCAGCAGGGGCTCTTTCCAGCTGCCAGCACTGCTGGATCTGGCTCCAGCCCCACTGCCCAGGCACCCCAGTAAGTATGCCCTGCATACACTGCCGGGGGCAGGACCTGGGCAGGCAGGGTGCATAGCCGGGTGGATGTGATGGGGCCATGGGTGCGGGAGGAGCGATGTTCAGGAGCTGGATAGGAGGATGAGTCTGGGATCATGGGTTGGAAACTTGGGGTATTAACTGGGCAGTGCCAGGGCTGGGGCCTGTGCCGAGGTCAGAGCAGAGATGCAATCCACTATCTGCACAGCTCTGTGATGGACACAGGCTCTGCGGCAAGGGGATGTGGCAAGTGGATTGCGGTTCTGCCCTGGGCCTGGCCCCATGCTGTTACTGCCCTAAGATCCTGGCCCCAGCCCTGGGCTCAGCTCCTTGCCCCCCCCCCATGGCACCATCCCATCTGCCTGGTGATGTACCCTGCTCGCGTGTCAGTCTCCAAGGCAGAGCCCTGATTTTCTCCCCATACATCCTTGCCTGCAGAACCCATGCCCATTGCAGGGCTGTGCAGGCAGTGGATTATGGCTCTTCCCCAGCCCTGGCCCTGGTTCCAACCCTGGCCCTGGCTCCAGCCCCGGCCCTGGTCCCACACTGTCAGCATCCTGCAATCCCAGCCCTTGCCCCGCTTGCCCATCCTGCTCCTGGATGACAGTCCCTGCACTGCTGCAGCCCCATCCTAGCCACCCAGTTGAGCAGATCCACTTAGGGAGTTTTGGTGAGGTGTTGTATGGGAGTTGGGGTGGGGGAGGACAGCTCACCAAAACTCCTTATGTGACCTGTAGGCCCAAATAATTGCCCACCCCTGCTCTAAAGAGACCCTAAAATGCAAATAAAATGTGAAAAAAGAGGATTGAGGTGCTTTATTCCTCTCTTGATATATACTCATATGTCCTCAGTTCATCTTAACCCTCCTCTTTTACCTGCTTTCTTTTTAACACATGGAAGTGAAAATGAATAGTTAATTAGATATTTGGATGAAATCAATGGATCAGTTCTTGTAAACAAAACTGCTGTCCCTGAACAATATAATTAATAATTCAAAATGAATCAGAGACTTACAGCCAGGATAGATCCAGGAGGGCACTTGATTCCCTTGTCACACTTGCCACACCTTGACTATGGCATAAGAAACAGGGCAAATTATACAGGGTTCTTTGAAAAATGTTATGCTCAAACATTTGTGTACAGTTACAACATGTTCAGCAAATCACGGTATAAAATCATTGTATAAAATGATGATCTAACAGGTTGACTCTCCTCAGCTAATCAGCCACAGCTGGGGTCAAGGCAGCTGCCCTATATAACAGGCTTGTCTGACTAGCTATTGCCCTAGATTTAAGGACAGCCCAAGCAGCTGCAAGATGAACTTTATTTCTGAAACTGTTGCTTCGTTCTGCAGATCTCTTGCTCTAGTCTTATTTCCAATTCTGGCCTTGGATTTTGCTCAGCTTTGTTCTTTGCTTCTGCCTTGGCCTGGTTACTGCTCCTATCTGGTTGCCATCAGGACCTCTGGCACTATATTGTTACCTTGATTAAGATTTCTGGATCTTGCACTTTGGGTTGGTTACTGACACAGACCTTCCAGTTTGTTACCTCTGGTTCACATACTGACTCTGTTCTTTGGACATTCCCCTGGTTCTACCTGCCTTACCAAACTTCCTACATAGGGACCTACCAAATTCATGGTGGGAGTAAGTTGCACAGTAGCTCCTTTAATCTTGAAGGTTCCCCTGTGTGCCCCCCACTTCTGATTGGTGGAGGGGCCCCACTTCTCACTGCTCGCTCCCGATCAGCAGGGAGGCAAAAACCACAATTTTAAATATGGCACTGTTTTTGCCACTCACTGCTGATCGGCCGAGGGGCCATGGCAGCCCTGCTGTATGTTGCTGATTGGCTGGGAGACAAAAACAGCACCATATTTAAAACTGCAGTTTTGATCTCCCTACTGATGAGGAGTAGCGGGAGGGGGCAGGGGACGCATGAAGTACAGCCTGTGGCTGCCCCTGCGGTGCTCCGCATGGAGCTGAGCCCCGCCCAGGGCAGGCCACGCCACAGTCCAACCTGTGCCTGGAAGTAGCTGCTCATTGTGTTAGGTGGGTGAAGTGGGTGGAAGGCAGCTGGAGCCAGAACCCTCTTCATGGGGCAGGAGCCACCCAGTTGAAACTTCCCCCCAGCCTGGAGCAGCACAGCTGGAGGAGAAGCCACTTTTGGAGGGAAGGGGTGCGAGCAGTATCCAGGTGGCTGCAGCCACACCAGGAGCAACTCTGCCGAAAGATGTGCACGGTGGCTGGGGCCAGGCTGGAGCATGGCATAGGCTTTCCTGGGTGGGGCTCAGCTCCATGCAGAGCACCACAGAGGCAGCCACAGACCTCACTGCCTAGGCAAGCTCTGCTGCACCTGCTCCCTCCCCCTAGTCCTGATCAGAGGGGAGATGAAAATCACGGTTTTAAATATGGTGCTGTTTTTACCTCCTGGCCAGTCAGCAACAAACAGCGGGGCTGCCAGGGCCCCTCGGCTAATCAGCAGCAAACAGCAAAAATGGCACCATATTTAATCCTGCAGTTTTTGCCTCCTTGCTGATCAGGAGGGAGCAGTGACCAGAGGGGCCCCTCCATCAATTAGTGGCGGAGGGCGCACAGGTTAAGATTAAAGGAGCCACTGAGCAGCCTACTACAACATAAATTTGGTAGGACCCTATTCCTACATATTACCCCTAATGGAGGACAATAAACGAATCTATTCAGTTTACTGGCTCAGAATGATAAATGGACTGAATCACAATCCAGATATCTAAGTTCTGGTTATTGCAAAAGCCGCCAATATTTGGTATCACTCCCTGTCTTATTTTTAACACCCAACTGTGTATACAAAATGCTGCTTTCAGAAATAGTATCTTTCTAATTTCAACCCAGATAGCCAGTCATAGATAACTTTAGTTATATTGTGTTTAAATTGGGCTAAGGGTTTTATGTAGGTGATTGCATGTTTTTTGGAGAGGGCAAGGAGAGATGAATATTACAGTGTTCATCTATAACTCAAAACACAGGGCCTATTTCGGATAGATTGAGTCCCTACAACTCTACACTGGCAAAGGAGATGCAGGTGATCGCAGGGATCCTGGTTTTCTCTGATTAAAAATTGCAAATTCTCTGATTAAAACCTCCAAATCCATGATAAAAATTAAAGGCCCCCCACAGACCAGTGTTGTTGGTGCCCCTCACTCCCCTCCACAGCCTCCTCAGCCCTCCTCCCCCACAACAGCCCTCCAGACCCACACACATAGGCACAGACATGCAGACACAGATGCACGCACAGACACTGACACCCTCTCCAGCAGGTAAGTGTGTGTAGGGGGAAGGGACAGGGCAGGGTGGGGGAAAGGGAAG